CTTTTCCTTATTCACTTTTTCCATTCCAGTCATGTTTTTATAGACCTCTATCATACGCTCCTTTACTAGCCTCTTTTCTAAGCTGAAAAGTCCCATTCTTTTAAATCTTTCTTCATATGGGACTTGTTCCAAACCCCTAATCATTTTTTATGCCCTTTTCTGAATTTTTTCCAATGCCAATATATCTTTTTTAAGATGAGGTGACCACATCTGTGCACAATATTCAATATGCGGGCATACCAGGGTTTTATATAGGGGCAATAAGATATTCTCTGTCTTATTCTCTAGCCCTTTTTTAATTACTCCTAACATTCTGTTTGCTTTTTTGATTACCGCTGCACATTGAGTGAGTTTTCAGAGAACTATCTACAATGACACCAAGATCTCTCTCGAGTAGTTACAGCTAAATTAGTCCCGATCATTTTGTATGTATAGCTGGAATTATTTTTTCCAATGTGCATTACTTTACATTTATCAACATTAAATTTCATTTGCCATTTTGTTGCCCAATCACTTAATTTGGTGAGATCTTTTTGAAGCTCTTCACAGTCTGCTTAGGTCTTAGCTATCTTGAGCAGTTTGGTATCATCTGTCAATTTTGCCACCTCCCTGTTTACCCCTTTCTCCAGATCATTTATAAATAAGTTGAATAGGATTGGACCCTTGGGGGACACCACTAGTTACCTCTCTCCATTCTGAAAACTTATTTATTCCTACCTTTTGCTTCCTGTCTTTTAACTAGTTTTCAATCTATGAGCGGACCTTCCTTCTTATCCCATGACAACTTGCTTTACTTAAGAGCCTTAGATGAGGGACTTTGTCAAAGGCTTTCTGGAAATCTATGTACATTATATCCACTGGATCCCTCTTTTTCCACGTGTCTGTTGACCCCCCTCAAAGAACTCTAGTAGATTAGTAAGTCATGATTTCCTTTTACAGAAACCATGTTGACTTTCCCTCAGTAAATTATGTTCATGTATGTGTATGACAATTTTATTCTTTACTATTGGTTCAACTAATTTGCCCGTTGAGTTATTAATTTTCCAGGGATACAGTAACTGCCAGCTTTTGAACATATCTCTTGATAACAGTGAGTTAGGGTACACTGAGTGTGTCAAGTCTGAGAAGAGTTGCTGACTCAGAGTACTGAGCCACCTGTGGAAGTCTGTGTCACCAAGTCTTGTATGTGTAATATAGCCTTGCATACACAGACATACTTATCATAAACCAAACTTCTTAAAAGTGAACAGAATGTAACCCTTCCAGATCACGAGATGACACCTGAATACTCCGCTGTCTTTGTGCTTTCTCTTACAAGCATCCAAAATGCCATTTTAAGATTTTCCACATGGTGGTTTCTGTAAATCACCCTACTCTCTTGGAGCGCTGAGGTGCAGGGAAAATTCTGAACTTGTATAAAGCCTTTTATTTCTCTTGTATCATGGACATATTGGAGAGTAGATTAACCGGGGGAGGGGAAAGGGTGAGAAAAGGGGAAAGAGAGAGCAAATGGTATTGCCAGTGATCTAATCCTTCCTATTAGAGGGGGAAACAAAACCCCTTATGATATCTAAGGAAGAACTTGCCTTGTAAACAAGTCTCCTGTATAGAACAGAAACAAGAATGGGAATGATTGACCCAGAGGGGCAACCAAAAGCAAGGAAAAGTTTAACAGATCTTAGATTTTCACTTCAGTGCAGCAGCAGGTATTAGAGCGAAGGTCCTGTCTACATTACAGAAAAAACTATGCAAATGAGGAAAATTAGTGGATTAAAAGATCCTTTGGCCACAACTATATTTTAACATTATTTGTATGCTATCTATTTAATGTGTATCAGATTGTATAAGCTACAGACTTGTGTTTCATTGAAAGGATCTCTCTATTATAGCATTCGCTCTTGTTAAGGTTTTTGTACTTCTCCCTAGGTACCACACATTAAATCCCCCTGAATCTGCCCCAATATATCACTTAGTGTCATAGTAATCCAGTATTTGAAGACGACTCAATTTTTACAGTATATATAAATGCCAATTATAGTACTACTTAGGTTCTTTTATCTGAGCATTTTAGGAAGGTGGGTCACCAGAATCATGCTCTTTTTACAAATGAGGAAACCGAGGGCCAGAGAGATTATGTGACTTACCCACAGTCATAAAGTCAGGCAGTCAAACCCAGAAGTCAGTTCTCCGGATGCCAGCTTCTTGCTCAATCCACATTTGATACTGAAATGTTTCATTTATCATAGCAGATCAGACAAGCAGTCCATGGCGCCCAGTAGCCTGTCTCTAAATAGAGTTCAGTGAGTAGTTTGAAACAAATCATTTATTAGATGAGTTAGCCTCATTTTCTGCATGTGGAACAGCCATGAACAGCTCATTATTTCCTTCAGTTTTATTATTAAAAAATTTTAATGGGCTTTTTTAGGTTGCTTTAGGAAGTTTGGATAATTATTTTAAAGCTTCTTCATTAGACCAGTTCTCTGTGAGTACATCTGATTTGCTATTTGAGCTGTGACTGGTCAGATCATTGCATAGTATCATTTCTCTTCCCTGACTGGAGAAGCACGCAAGCATGTCAGGGCGCAAACACTTACACATGCAAATTTCACATTAGGCTTCCATGTGATTTTGATATTTGATTTTTGGAATTTAATTTACTCATTGATAGTAAAACTGAATGGCAAAAATATTCGTGGAGCATGTATTCCAGAATAAAGTGAACATGGTATCAGCTAATTCACTTTTAAAATTCCAGTGAAAGTACATATACCTTTTTAAAAAATCTTTCAGTATTCCACCAGCTCCATATTCAGAATATCTGGCATCCAATGTTTCTTACAACATGGTGGCAAAGACAATTGCAGCAGGAGAACAGGAATTTCTTCCTGACCCCTGCAGACTACCTTTGAAACATAAGATCTAATTCAATCCATCTAGCTGCCCATCACTAGCATATAAAATACTATAGTCCTAGACACTAATTTGACTGATTTGAACTCAGTATCTTGAAATTTCATTTGATTTCACCAAAGGATTTTTCCCTCCTTCATTTGTGTTCTCTAAAACCCCTTAATTTTCAATTGAATGGAAATATAGATTTGGACTCGGGGGGCTATTTCTTCCACTTAATGTGCAATCCCCAAAAAATAAACAAATACATTGACACAATGTTGAAGAATGAGACTCACCAGTTTAAACTAAAGTGACTTTTACGGAGTAGCCCAGCTGGCAAAAAAAAAAAAAAAGTATACATTTAACTCTGAAACCTGAAGTGTTCTTTGAATATGTTTTAGCCTTAAAGGGATCACAGACTGCAATTATATAATTCTTGTTAACTGATGTTAAAGATAGGCTGGAAAGAATGTATGCTGAGGCCCTGTAATAAAATGAGCTCCTTTACTCCTTTCAAATGTTTGCAAGTCTTGGAGGTTATCCAAAGGTCGAATACAGGAAAAGTCTTGGTGAACAGAAAACATAATCATAAGCTTTTTTAATATGAGCCCTTCTTGTAATAAAATAAAATTATTGTAGGGCAGGGGAGGGCTAGCTCTGTCTCCTTAGATCTAGGGCCAGGGGGTCTGAGCTTTAATCAACTGCTGCAGTTTTTAACCCCCACCCCGCCCCCCACTGAGCTTGTCACTTAGAGAACCAAGTTTAGGTGCATCAGGGTGTGGTGGAAAAAGTAGCAGCAACATAATGAGTTAGGTCCAGCAGTTTTTACATAGGTACAAAGACAAATGTCTGGAATTGCACCCCCTTGGGTTCACTGCAGTAATGGGGACAGGCACTCCCCAAAAAATAAATATACAGTTCTTCGTCAATGGCTACCTCAGCCTAGGAATGACGGAACAATACAACCTTCTGTATACATTATGCTTTTTGGCCTGAAAGCTCCAAAATTACTTTACAGAACAGATAAAGAAAAGTCATCTGCCACTGAAACGCAGCTGCTTCTGAAGTGGAATAGAACCACTCTAATTTCATACAGAAACCCTACACAACAGTGCTGGAAGGAAAGGGAATCATATGGAGAACACCACATCCAACTGCAGATACAGGGGAGCTTGGAGAAGCAGATTATAATAATCCAAATAGAAATTTGGAGAGAATACTAGGGCAGCAATATTTGCTTTAGCAAAAGTGCTGTAGGTTCTTTAATGGCCATGAGAGGTCTCGACAGAAATACGAGCATCAATTTTGCTTTCAATAAAGTACTCTCCATCCCACTTAACCCTCAAGTCATTTATTATGGAGTCTATGTCACATGATCTGAGCTTTACAACCCCACTGAGACTAGGGCTTTCCCATGTCTTCATTGACCAAAAAAACCTCATCTTGCAATGT